ACCATTATAAAATGCTGCTCATTGACTAAACAAGACACCTATTCATCTTATAATTTGCAAATTGATTTTTTTCTCTGATCCAATAATAGGTTGTATTCATCCAAACCTTTAATTAAATACAGAAATTGGTTCTTCACTGTGATAAGAATGTGTTACACTTTGTGGCCATTTTGCAGTCGCCTGTATCGACGCTCACTGTGAGCTTCAGCATCATCATCAACGTGGCTCTGACCTCCACGATGAAACCAGTGAGGTGTTAAGGCCAGGGACTACATGTGCTGCTTCTGCTCTAGTCATGAGTAAAAGGTCATCACATTATTTACTCAATACCACTCTTTACTTGACATGACCCTGAAATATCAGGCTGAAATTTGGAAATGAGCTGTGTTGTTGACTCAATTTACTTCCTCTGGCAGTTATTTATACAAATCCAAGTTTAGAGTTATAGAGACCATGAGAAGAGATGATGATGAAACTTAACAGCTGCTAAATAATTTAACTACAAATATTTTTTACTGAATCCACAGTTGGTTCTGCATTATAAAGTGGCTTGAATTAAATGGTGTGGCGCTCTTGGTACGCTCGATTAAGACCTTGAGTACCTTGTAAAATAAGGTTGATTCATTTTGCTTTCAGACAAAACAGCTCTCTTAAAAGTTCCCTGAAAAAATGTACCAAATTTATTTTTGGTCACTGTGGTTGATGAACAATGAAGTTTATGGAGGACAATTTGGCATTGATAAAGCTTTGGAAAAAATCACTACAAACTGGGGTCATAGCCAGTAGGAATATCTTGGTTTATGCTTTAATCTTAATTCTGTGATATAAGATATTTGCCAGTATCGGGTATTCATTTCATTTCATTTATTTGTTCATTTCCAGGCACAACAAATATCTATATTGAACATAAAATGCACAAAACAAAAAACAAAAATTGCCTGAAAAAGGATGATGTATGTAGGGTATGATGTGATTCTATTTACATACATGCTGATTAAATATCAGACACACTGTAAATACCTAATTAACATGACACACCTTAATTTGCCGCTAACTACTTAATCAAAATGTTGATGAGTACTAGACTAGAAATTCTGCAGCATGAGTTCACAGTGACGCTTCTGTCACCACCTAAACAATAATTAACATTAATTAGCAAAGCTGACCTTGCTTGCTGTTGGCACCATTTATCATGTTACTTAGTAAAAGTGACAGTGAGTGCCAGCAAAAAAACATCCAAGATACTTCTGCCTGAATGTAAGTTATATGTGAAGAATCCAATTTAACAGCAATCTATACCCCGCGAAATAGAGCAGGCCTTTAATTGTGGGAAGCAGCTCAGGCAGATAAAATAGTACAGAACGGATCAGAATTTGATCAGCTTTATTTCATTGGACACTGGTCCAAATGGACTGAGAAGTGACTAATAATCACAACTCGAGACTTCAAATGTTCTGTAGAACTTTGGAGAATGTCAGATCTTCGACCGATAATTTAGTCATATTTTAAAGACAAACCAAAATGTTATCTTGTTTAATATTTTAATATGCAAAGATTTGCAAGATTTCTTTGAGTTAAAGGAAACTGATATGTATTTTTTCTTTGCAGTTAATTCTTTGCAGTTCTTTGTCCATTAATCAGGACAATAGGTCATTAATCAAATGTTTTTTAGATTGACATATAATGTCAAATTATATTTTGTTGCAGTCCAACTGCCATTTTTGGGATTCCCAATATTCAATGTAACTAAAATGGCTATGGAATAAATCCAGGAGATTATTCTCTTACTCATCTCCAACAAAGCGATGTACCTTCCTGTGAAGAGATAGCTTGAGGACAACATTTAGACAATAATGTAGGTGAATATGTTTTATAGAAAATATCCTTAAACAAATAAGCTAACATGCATGTGTTTGAACACAAGCACAGAAGGGGCCTACACACAAATCCCCAGCAGGACACAACTTTAGAAACACTGCTAACCACTCACCATAATGCTACCCACCCTAAATAAAACTAATCATGGTGCACTTCCTTTTCTTCATTATTCCCTTTAGAGGTCACCACAGTGGATTACCTCCCTCCATCTCACCCTATTCCCAGAATCATCATTCTTCACACCAACCCTCTTCTCTTTTCCTCCTGCCTGTAAGCTGCATGTTCACCATCCTTGGTCCTATATATTTACCATCCCTCCTCCACACATGTCTAAACGATTCTCAGCTTTACCTCTGTAACTTTGTCTCCAAATGATACATTATAAACTGTTCCTTTCACTCTTGCTCCTGTCTTTCTGTCACCACTCATCTTCACCCACTCCATGCTATCTCTCTTGTGCACCGTCCGTTGCTTTGGATGGTTGTCTCTAGGTATTTAAACTCAGCTACCTTGACTACCTCTACTCTTTCCAGCATCTTTCCACCTGTCTCATTCACACACATGCATTCTGTTTACTTCTACTGACTTTCATTTCTTTTCTTTCCAGAGCATGCTTTCTGAAAACATCATACTCCATGACATTCATAGCAAGTACCCTGAATATACTGTCTAGTGGTAGTCAAGTCTCAGAATTCCATCATTTAAGCACTGTCAGGCCAAGCTGGAAGACGACAGTTTGAGAGATGCATGTTCCAGATTCTAATCTACGTCCCCATATGAAAAAAAAGAGACATACTGTCTATAATCAGACAAACGTGTGGCTATTCATCTTTATTTTTTCTCTCTTAAAGCCATGCAGTTTGCTGGGCTATCTCTCTAACATTAAAGACAAAGAAATTACTCATGTTAATAAAAACTAGAATGCCAGTGAGATTGCTTCTCTGAAGAGAGGTTTACTATGGACTAGACCGGACTCCGCAATAGAAATACAATCCTTAAGCAGCAGGACTGGTGTTAAAACAGCAGTACTGTATCAGTGAACATCTGCCGGTCTCTCAAGTGTCCTTGAGCAAGGCACCAAATCCCCGTGAGCTCCAGGGGTTCTGTTCTGCAGCTGACCCCAATCTCCCTCAGGAAGAAGTAGTGGGTTTAGGTTTCCCTGCACAAATCGATACAGAATCAAGTATTATAACTCTTACTTTTCAGTTTTGCAGCAACTAGCAGGGTCATATGGTTAACATAAATGAAAGGGTACACTTGTGAAGATTTAAACCGTCAATCACTGCATTCGACGTATGAAGGAAACACAGAACCCATCCAACACCCAATGGTATTATGTTGAGCAGGTGGGGAGTAAAGCACAGATATGTCTATTGTGGCATTGAACCTGAAAAGTAAGAGCCCCACCTGACAGTGACAGTGGGGCCATGTTTCCTGTGTCTATCATTCTCTTTCCTGCCTACATTCACAATTTTTTTCCTGCCATCTCCCTTCGTGTTCCATTCATCCTTCTCTTTTCTCCCTCTTTTACTATTCTCTTTTTACCACTCTGTCCCTCCTCTCTGTCTTTGATGTGCAGGTAATGAAAAAGCAGAATCAATTGGCTGCTGCTTTGTGCAAGCAGAGGTGTTGAATGGAAATCAATCCGTTACCTAAAGACAAGGGAACTGCAAAATAACACAGACACACCAACAACTTCCTACTGAAAAAAGGGAGAGTAAGGGGAAGTGGGGAATATGAAAGGACAGGACGAAAGAATAAGCGATCTAACGAAGAGAGGAATGATCAGCGTGGGTCGTGATAGGCTGTCTAATAACTCCCCCTCTGTGGCCCCACAGAAAGCTGCTTGTTTGTAGTACTTAATGTAGTATTTTGAAGTCTCAAGGTGAAAGTCTAAATGCACAGACTCTGTGCTGTGAGTCTAAGCGAGAGCAACAGAACAGCTGTAATGTTATCTTAAAAAGACGGACAGCTATAAATCCTACTTGTCCCCTCTCTGTATGTTACACTTTCTAAACGGGGTTTAGCGACAAAGAATTATGAAGAAAGAAGACTTTCCTGGAAACCAAGGTCACGGTCATGATGACCCAATTGGTCATTCCCGGTGTTCCCGTTGACCATTATGCATATTGATGTACGTGTAGGGATTAGTAGCGATAGGAAAGAGATTTCCCTATGGAAGCTTGAGGTGTTTGCTAATTCCCTCCCCCCCCTAATTTACTGGAGTAAATATTTGGCTCAAATAACAATCATTCCCTGTGAGACTGATCTAATCTGTGTAATCCTGTGCAAACAACAAAAGTCAAGAAAGGCCAGCAGAGCCCTCGCCGTCAAGGCCATCCTGTTTGAGTCAGCAGGCTGGACTGTTTTGTGTTAGTTTGCGAGATTGTCAAACACTCTCATGTTTCTTTGCTTTCCATCCTCGTCTCATATCCTTGTTAGTCTAACTTGCCCCGATATGAACTTTTTGTCTGTCCTGTAAGGGAGTAAATAAAGACGGATTATCTGTGCATATGCTCTGATAAAAAACAAGCTTATTGTCTTCCACTTTAGGATTAATTATGCAAATTTCAGACAAGGAAGTGTGTAGGTTGAAAAAAAAAAATCCCAGTGAATACATAATCATTTTCATGATCAAACAGAATTGGCAAATACACATTTTTTGTTTGTTTTTTTGGGTATTTTAACCTAGAATTTCCATGGTCATGGCCTCGGTTTGCCCATGTGCATAAATCTCACTTACCTTCAAGCTCATGCAGAGACTTCATAGTGACCTTACAACTCCCATATGTATCCCTTTCACGGCCAGCATTCTTTCTTCGTAGTGCCCCAGTAGCCCACTTGGAGTGGCCTAATAACTCCCTTATAGTCACCTTGCAGTGCCAATATATCAGCCTTGTAGGTATGCCAGTGCCCAGATGCCTTACATTCTCACTTCTCTCCAGCTGTTCCACTTGTATTTCGAGTGAAAACATTTTCCAAGAGGATTATTAAAGTTAGATCTATTCTGATGTAATTTGATCTATGCTGCTCAAGCTTGGCTCATTCTCTCAGTAGGCCACATCATATTCAATTTCTCACTCTGTGTAATGAATGTTATGCAGTGATGCTGTTAAGATTACCTGTAAACCAGTGAGTCATCCTGGCTTCCGTTATACTGTATCTGGAACATCCGAATTCCTGGTATATTCCTCTGGAAGTTGAACTTGATCAGTGCAGTTGATGACGTGGCCTCAGCTGTCACCACCCTCTTATCCACACCACTCTTCACATCACCAGTCACGTTGCTCCCGTTGGCGCCGCCTCGGGTTGACGTGGAAATGTCCGACGATCGCGTGTCAGACTCCTGGATGTTGTTTGTGTTGTTGGAAATGTGCGGGAGTTTGATAATAACCAAATCCACTGTTTGGTGAGCCTCGCCGGCGGGGTTGGAGGAGATACAGGTGAACGAGCCAGTGTCTTGCACCTTACTGATGACAATGTCCAGAGTCCCGTTAGCGTAGACAAGTGTTCTGGAGGAATTAGAGACCAGTTTACCCTCAGGAGAGATCCAGTGAATGGCTGGCTCTGGGTCACCTCTTGCCTTACACCTTAAAAGACAGAAAACCAGTGAAGTGAAACTTGAAACAAGACAGCACAGGGACAACAGTACAGTAGAAGCAAATCTTAATGCTTAATGGTTTCTGGAATCCTGCTACTTTTCCTCTAAGACTTGGGTGAAAAGTAAGAGGCTGAAACTTATCTACTATGTTGACAGAGCACATTTGAATTAGAGTACAAATGATAGCCTTTGTACTACAGTTTCTACAAGGTTTCTGGGTCAATAAAATTATTATAACTCAATGCTGACATTTAAAAATTCCTTGTCTTGGTGTAAAATTAGTAAGTTAAGATACTAAAAAAGTAGTTATTAAATTTTTTTGTGTCATAGTTCATAGCTCTTTTGAGACAGAGATCCAAATAAACAGCCAGAAATGGTATCAATCAGTCAAATTTTATAGCTTAATTCGTGTCTCACATGCTATAAACCAAAAAGGAAGAGTCAGAAAAAAACAATGTTCATAATATTCTATTTCATCAAACAAAAAATGGTTTCGCAACAAAGCAGACTCAATTTGAAGGATTCAAATTAGAAACAATCAAAGTGAGGAGCATGTTTGTCAGGGTAATTTAGCTTTCCCCTTTTCTGCAGATAATTACAATTACTGTGAAGTGCTTCAAAAGTTATAGAATAAGAGCTAACAAAAATCACATTTTTAGCTGGAGTCACACTACACATTCTCCACACATGGTTGTTAATGTTAGAAATGAACTAAAAAGGGCTCCTGGGATGTGAAGTTCATTTGAAGTGAAAAAGCGAGAAATGAAAGTGACACAAACACATACATTTAAGCTGTTTCAACCCTAACCCCAGACTTCTTAAAGGGTAAAGATATGCAAATTGCACTGTGTGTGCATTTCTTCAAATTTAATTACTAAAGATTTGTGTTCATTTGTTGACATTTTCTACCAAAGGTTTTTAAAGTTAATTGGTAATTATGTGACAGCGCACCTCAGATGTTGCAGAGGAAAACTTGAGTGGTGAAAAGTGTGTAAAATAATTCCCCCATTTTTAAAAGCAACAAAAAATGGTCACTCTTTTGAGTAACAATATTACTATGATAAAGTAAGTGCTGGGTATAAAAATGTGTTGTCAACACCTAATTACCTAACCATACACTTTCTCCACTTTTTCAATTTCATGAAATAAATTTGTATTGCACAAGATTACAAATGTAAATAGACTGGCCCACACTGTCCACTTATACCTTTTATATGACAATGACAACAAGATAGAATGAAAGAAAAGGGGATAATAATGTTTCACCACCAAATAATCACCATCTCTTCTGACAGAGGCTTCTTCCTGTTAGTAGAAAGTATTTCCTTCCCATATGATTGCTGGGTTTTCTCTGAATCTATTATTGTACGATCTACTGTACAATATAAAGCGCCTTGAAGCGACTGTTGTTGTGATTTGGCGCTATATTATATAAATATAACTGAATCGAATAGAAAAGCTGTTGTTGTCTTGATTTAGTTTTGTCCTGTAAAGTCTTTGGTAATATTTGTGTCTGTCACTGATGTTTTATGCGTCAGTAAGCAGTGAGGCTTTTCATATTCTTGCATGTTTGTGCAAGTCAGGTGGTTACAGGATGATGGCAAAACTGCACCACATAATAAAAACTTTACTCCCCGATTATTATTGATTTCATAACCACCATATTATGTTTAGATGCAATTCTAGCAAGAACTGATACCTGAGAGCAACTCTCTGGCCTTCAAGGACCCTCATCTCGTGAGAGTATCTGGTGATGAGTGGAGGCTCGCAGAGAAACTCCTCTTCAGGGATAGACCAAAAGTATCGGCCAGACAGGTGCTGGGGTGTGGCACACGTCTCCAGGTCATCCTCCCTGCTCAGCCTTCGCAGCCAAAGTAACTCACAGTTGCAGTGGAGAGGGTTGCCACCGAATGACAGTGCAAAAGAAGAGAGGTGCATCCCTGACGTTGCTAGAACCTGGGAGTGCATTAAAAAAATGTGAAAATTAGAACAGCAACATTTTTATAGACAATTCCACTACGTTCGGTCGAGTTTGGTCAGTTGAATGTGTGGTTCCTTGCTCCATCATAAACATAAACTACTTAATAATGAGAATTAAGAGTGCTGGAGACTTGTCCTTACATTTGACTCTAGAATACTTTGGTATACAAAGGAGCATGGTCAACTCAATGATTGCAAGGTGCCCAGGACCTGAGCTGCAAAACAAGTCCAAATAATGGGCTCTCGATTCTATGCATGACAGTTGGTATGGGGTGTCTGTGCAGATAGGCTGTGACTGGTGATCACCAAATGTGGCACTGTGCTTTATGGCCATCAATACTTCTACTCTGGACTCTTCTTTTTAGATAAGAAAGGTTTCCTTCTTTCAAATCTTCCAAACAAACCATACTTTTCACTTTCCTTGTATTTGTACTACTGCAATTTTAACATTTAACATGCTAAATAAGGGCTGCAGAGTCTGAGATGCAGCTGCTGTGCCCAGCAAAATGCACATACTAACAGTTTTTAGAGGTGGTCACACCTACTTTGATTGCATTTGATTTGCAGCTTTTTTACATTACAGTAAAATAAATTGATTTAATGATTGCACTGAAAAATAGATAAACAGCTTTAGCCTGCTGATTCACAACCTGTTTTTATTTTATTTTGCGTGAATTCCCCAAGGACTTAATTGCCTAAATACGGTGGTATTGTGTGGTAGGCTGTGTTTAATGTTTTTGATTGAATGTGGTGGGAAAGAAAATTCTAAGAATACCTGTGCTCGTTGAAAAAGTGGGTCAGGTGGTAGCTTTTGGAGTTTATTAGAGGTGACATCCAGCCGGTTTAGTTTCTGTAAAAGGGAAAAGGTTCCCTCTGGAATGTATTCCAACATGTTGTGGTCTAAACTCAGCGTGTGGAGGCTTGTCATTCGCTGGATAAATAACAGAATAAAAGAGACATTTATTATTGTTTCTTTCAATGTGGTTAATTTTTCACACATTCGATAATGATAAGGGGAACAGAGCAAGGAAACAAAATGTGTGGTGAAAAAAACCTCTTTTAAAGTTTTAAAGTTGACTATACTTAGTTACCAAGCATTACAGTACTGACATTACCTACTAACACAGGGGTCAGCAACCTTTAACACCCAAAGAGCCATTTGGACCCTGTTTCCACGCAAAAGAAAACACTGGGAGCCGCAAATACTTTTTGACATCTAAAATGTACCCAATGCACCCAATTTCCTTCGGGGTCAACCTTCAGGATCAATAAAGTTTTATTGAATTGAATTGAATTGAAAAATGAAGATAACACTGTATATATTGTTTTTTACCTTCATGTATGTGTTGCTTATGAAATCCATGAAGTGCTACAGAGAAAGTTACATTTTATTTATGTAATTAACACATTTTGAACTCTTAAAGAAATAAAACAAAAGGAAAGACACCCAGCTGAACTAAAATGATCCATGCAGCAACCAAAAACTGTTGTGAGCCGCCGCCCTTATATCGCCTTTGGGCTTTTGGAGCCTTGACCTGACTTTTAAAAAATAATTTGAAAAAAATCACTATGCTGCTAAAAAATGAAAAATAGATATTTGCAAAATTCTGCCTAGTATGTATTTTACCTGGTGTGTGGCGGGACGTGGTCTGCAGCGCCGCTGCAGGGGAGGCGAACGCAATCACGCCTTGCCGCCTTTACGTCTGTGCTATCTATGCTGTTGTGTTGGTGTGTGTCGGGCTGTGAGCTGCAAAGCTACAGCCGGCTGTATGCGTACAGCAACCGTGTGTGAAAAGTGGTCAATAAAGAGATGCTGAAAAGCATGTTCATGCAAACATCGTTGGGTCTGCTGTGATATGTTTACAATGGAATTTCTGGTCCCAAACCTCTGCGCACAGCGTCTGCAAATCGGGGCTGTATGAAGTCACTTTCATGTTTACGCAGGACTGTAAGCTGTCATCTGTGAGGCGTGAGCGGTGTTTGTCTTTAACATTGTTCACGGTGGAGAACAGCTGCTGACATAATGTGGATCCGAAGATCCATAATTGGCCTACCTGGGGTTGAAAGTCTCAATAAATGCACGGTGTATCGGCGGGTATACCGGCTTCCGCGAGTGTGATGCTTATTTTGAGCGATGAAAAAATAATAGAATATAATTTAATTTTTATATTTCAATATCACAATAATCTTCCAATTTAGAACTACAAATTAAAAAAGAACTAACATAAATAAAATATGCTTCAGCTAAATACTTCTATTTTATTTTCCCAAACCACGCGGAGCCGCACTATAAGGACTAAAGAGCCGCATGTGACTCCGGAGCCACAGGTTGCCGACCCCAGATCTAACACATCTTGGCTATCAGTGAAACTGCATATACAGTTATTGAACTGTCAACATAATGACCTCTGCTTAGTCCCAAAGCTCATTTAAGTCTAAAATAAATGCACCCACATTTTTTAAGGACTTTGCCTCGGGATGCTTTTTTTTTCCAATGCCCTCCAGCCAAACAAGCTTCAAAGTAGTGTTGCATGTTAAAGAGGTTCTAACCTGGATGGCCTCCCATGGAATAGTGTCGAGGTTATTGTAACTAAGATCCAATTCTTCTAGTGCCAGCAGGTCATTGAATGCTCCCTGGTGAATCATGACCAGTTGGTTGTTGTTCAGAATCAGGTGATGAAGCTTGGACATCCCACTGAATGTATCATTGCCTATCCTCGTCAGTCGGTTGCTGTGGGAAATTGAAGAGAAATAAAACTTCAGAGAAAACGTATAAATAAGATTTCATATTGTAAGAAATTATTTTTAGTTCATACCTGTTGAGGTGCAGGGCTCTGAGGTTTTCCAGATCAGCAAAGGCATGAGGTGTGATGTAGGAGATGGTGTTTCTGGATAATGTCAGGTCCACCAAACGTGTCATGTTTGCAAAATCTTTTCTTTTCACACTTTGGGCAAAGATGAGACAAAAATAAAATATCGTTAAAATGAGGTAACTGCCATACTAGTGACCCACATTACACTTATAAAATACAGTCTAGCGAGAGTGGCAACTCATATAACATCATGTACTGCAGTAATGCAGACGTTCTACCAGTAGAGTTTCAACAGCAGCTATCGAAGGGTTTTAATGTAAATGGTTTAGTCTCATGAGTATCGTTATTATTGATGTGACGATCACCTTGTGACAAAATTGTCAGCCAGTCGTAGCTCCACTGTATGTCTGTCAATGTTGGGTGGGACAAATAGTAGACCTTTCTTGGCACAGAGGGTTGCCAGGTTGGGTGACAGTATTTGACATACGCAGCGTTTTGGGCATATCTGTGCCCGCACAGCCATAGCGACGGCCAGCATTACACACAGTACCAGCCTTTCCATGGTTACCCCCCGTACCTGGAAACAACACCTAAAATAAATGGAAACAAGACAGACCAAGAGAGAGAAATAGAGATGTTAATGACATTTGAAATGAACTGGTCCCATCAATTGGCCCCAAACTCCTGGTTTGCAGTCACATACACTTGTTACTGCCATCTGGAGGCCATTTGGATCTGTTTGATATTTAGTAGGAAAGAAGGAAAAACTTATGGCAAAAGTAAAATGTTAAAAACAAATGGAACGTGACAAAGAAACTGAGATAAAACATGCTTCCCCATTCAAAAGTCTTTTTAAAAGGAGAAGGATGTACTTCCTCAAGCTTCTCTGTAATAATACATTATCTATCACCAACTGCACATCCTTTGATATCAACTCAAATAACTGAATGCAAAGATGTATATTAAAAGTCAAGTGTAGATATGATGATGAGTGCAGTAAGGAGACAAGTGGCTGGGCCTCTAAAAATCATCTGTGGTGGATTTTTTGTGCACGTTAAAGAATCAAGTGATCAGTCATGGTGATCAGAAAAAAAACAAAACTTTATAACCAAACATGACTATGACCACCAAACAAGAAGAGGGTTTTATTAGTCTCATTTATTGCTCAGCAGTGTTATTGTGCATGAACATGAGTGAAAAGGCACACATACTCAGTCATCATTAACAAGCCGCAGTGCTTGTAGTTAATTAGAGTGTTAGTGCGAGAGTGCAGGGTGGTCGGGGAGAGAGAGAAAATCCTCATTAATGGCAACCTTGATTTCTGGTTTGAAGGACATGGGAGAATCACCATTAAACAGATCACAGTACAAACAAGCATGCACACGCAAACATCTACGCATTCACAGAAGAACACAACACAGACATAATGAGGGTGAAACAGAAGTTGAGGATTTGTCTCTGTGAACTTTTCTCACACTTTTTATTTGAACAAAAATGCAGCAAAACAATAGAAACAACTTGTATGCTGTGTGTTCCATAATAGGTTTGTTAAGACGTTTTAAAGTTACAACTGGGAATGCTCACTCTCTCATAAGATAACCTATTATAAATAACACACCATGGCATATGTATAGGTAAACTGTTTTATTCATGGCCTGCTACTGCTTTATAAATCAAATCCAAACCAAAAAGGGAAAAATATCCCACAAAACAGATTTTTACACTCTGAGAATCCAAGAAGGGTAAAAACATAAACCTCAACCTCAACAATAACGTCTTAGTTTGGTCTGCTTTGAGAGAATTGCCCATAATATGTCATTACTTTGAAGACTGATTTGTTCCAATCAGTGTCTTTGCTGAGAAGCAGCCAGTTAGTGGAAAGGACATGAGTGCAGAATGAAACAGCAGCAGCATTTGGAGCCATTTCAACAAAAAAAAGAATTTTAAGCCAGAGTATTTGCAAAGAAAGCACATGGTACGGCCGGTTCATCTAACCAACTTGCGTAGCTGGTGTTCATACCATTACCCGAGTCCCTATGTAATAAAGGAGCCGCGCAACCGAATGTCTTGTAGAAAGCAACACGTCTCATCAGTCCTTGGATGTCATTCCCATCACTAACAAGCACACAGTGAAGGTGTTAAAATCAAAATGCTTTTTTGTTCAATTTTGCCTCCATCTGTGGTGTGAATTCATCACTGTGGTGTTCCTGCACTGCACTTCCCAGACATAGACTGTTAGTACAACCAACACTGCTCATGCTAACCTCATAGTTCTCTTGTTTATTCCAAACTGGAACCACATTTTGTTTTTGTCAGTTGTATTTTTCCTGGAGAAGAATTACAAGATCCTACCACTTCCAGTCTCTCTGTGGTGGCTTTGTTTTTGTGTATCACTGTTTTTTATTCCATTGTTATCATTTTGTTGTCATACTTAGCCTCTTCATGGTTGTTTTGCAGCTCTTATCTAATCTTATCACATCACTTTGAGGATATTTTATTGCTTTTTCCTTTGTTTTTCTTATGGGATGCAGAACATACTTAGGTTGTTCTGCATCCCTTCCTCTCTTGTCTTTTGACTGGAAAAGACAAATCTGAGCCAGGTCTTCTTGACCCTTTGCATGCCTGGGTCTGTGTCCATGTTCAGTTCAGTAATCCTTCCATGGCCATTTAATGTTGGGGTGAGTGTCAGGCTCCTGGGCTTTGGAGCACTGGCCACTACATAACCTACCTGGAGATCAAAAGTATTTTTTGTATCCTACTATTTGCAACTTTTAGAGTTTCAAACTACTGTAAATGGCACTTGTATGTTAAGACCAGAGTTTAATAAATTATATAGAGTCGTGTAATATTAACACACTACCCAGGACTGATTACAAAACCATTCACCAATCTGTAGTCTAGTTGTGAGGTCCTCTCTCTGTACTTCTTACATCTGTGTGAAATCACTGACATGAAATTTGCTACGATGTCAGAGGTCGTACAAGTCCTGTTTTTCTTTTCCTCTCTGTTTGAGTGCAGCGAAAGAAGACCAGAAAGATGGAGCAGCAGCTAAATAGATCACCGGATGACTCATATGCTCTGGTGCTACAGAAAGAGCAAGAGAGTGAGCGAGAGACAGCTCTTGACCTTTCTGACACGAAAGCAGATATCACCTCATTAATTACTCTGAGAAATGACTGTAATGAGAATGAACGAGTAAGACAGAGAAATGGAAAGGAAACGGGGAGAATTATCAGAGAGAGTGAGGAGGAAAAAAAGAGCGATCAGAGAGCCAGCTAATTAAAATGAGTGCTGAGGTGTGAAAGAAAAAGGGGGAGAGGGACGAATTTCATTTAGAGAGAGGAGACGAGGCAGGATAGATGAAGAGGACGTTGTTCTGTCACGCTTTGTATGCGATATGCAAACCGTAAAGCCATCCGCTACACAGGAGGGATAAGGTTATATGTCACACACATATAAAAGTGAGCATTTCACCAGCACTGAACTTAATTTTCACACAAACTCTTCTTCACTCGCAACCTGATGTAGCTTGAGGTGACATGTAGGACCACTGGGATCAAATGGAATGGTGAATTAACCAAAGGGATTATGGGTAAGGAAGACAAATTAAGCTCTGTTTGCAGCGATGTGTAAAATACGATTCTGTTTCACACATGTGTGCAGGCTGCTTTATCCACTTCTTTGAAATCCATCCACCCTGTTCCCCCGAAGGTCTCCCATAAAGCCAGTTTCACCCCTGGCTTGCTCACTGATGAACAACCGGCTTCCCCGGACAGCTCAAATGGATTCTCCACACGCTCCATATACTGAAACTGATCTCGGGCTGCATTCAAATCTCACAGGGATAACCAGAGGCACAACTTGGCAGTTAAGAGTGGTGGCTTGGAAGTATTCACACATTCAAACTTCTTTGAAGCTGCGGAGAAGCCACCATTGAAGATTCTTTGAGTGTTTTTTTTCCTCCTGATGAGCTTTTTCACACATCCAATAAGCGAGTGATACAAATGTGATCATGCACTTTATGGTAAACCATTTAAATGTCACCTTAGCAAATTCTATTCTCAACAAACTAATTCAACCCCCCAACGCTTTACCACGACCACACAGTTATTAATACGCAATATAATAATAATAGCAATAAGCACAAGCATACATGCTGACAACAACTTCAACCACTTGTATAGGTTATGTCATAGGGTCAAACAAAGGTTCAACAAAGTTTCCCCGCAGAAATCTAAATCAGACCTTAGACTGCCCATCATTTGAAGCTTGCACGTAAAGTAGGAACTAAGCGCCTAGTCTATTTCTCCAGTGACTTACCACAAAACCTGGCTAAATTTGCAAAAGTGATGCACAAAAGATGAAAGTTAAAAACTACCTGCGATTATTTACAGTGACTCATTAAATAAAACAGCACCTGTTCTGCTGGTATTCATCTCTGAGTGACTGTTGTAAGTCGAGAGCTCGTAGCAACAATCTTTACCGCGTGACGTGGATGTAGCATCAGAAGTAGGAAACTACTCTGACAATCCTAAAGTGTCATCCAGTGGTTTTGCAGGGCTCTTTACTGAGGAGTGTAAGGTAGTTTACTACAGCACTTGTTGTGTTGAAATAGATTATTTATGTCAGTGTTAGGAAAACCCTTCACGCGTTTAAGGGTCCTCCCACAGTCTGAGAGGACTGGGCTCTTGTTGGTGAGAGTGACATTTGTTTACTGCGAAGTATTCTTCCTGACAGCAAAAAATACACTGAAGCTTACAACCTCCAGATATTAAAGCGATATAGAAAATTAGATTACCGCAAGGACTACATTTAAGAACATTAAGCATTAGTTCAGGTGCATCTCAATCACCTATTAGGGAAAATAACATGCAAAGCTCAAGCTAATCTATGACATTACAATAAAGCTGTTGATTTTGTATCATTTGCAGATAATGAGTCTCGCATTTTAGTTATCTATGGCTTATAACTCACCTCATAGTTCTTCAAAAAAGTAAGTGCAAGATGTTATATCACAGGCCTTTCCTGAATGTTTTCGTTCATTTGGAATATCCCTGAGTTATTATAACTGAAGTATCTTATGATGTACCCCAGTTTTAAAAGTTTCCCTTGTGGTGTAAGATCAACATCAGATATTATAATGAAATCCTTTCAGTGAATTTGTTGCTGTTACATGTGTTAGTTATCGTAAATGCACTTTATACAACTCGCCTCGTTCCCCCATTCATACAAGCACTTTTTCTATGTTTTTTTCCTTTCTATTAAAGTGCTTTTATCTAACTTTCATACACATTCACACTCTGATGGATGCATCAGTGAGCGACTTGGGTTTAATATCTTGCCCAATATTTGGAGCAGTCAGACATTGAACTACCAACCTTCCAGATTAGTCGATGACCTGCACCACCTCAGACAGCCACCAGGTAAGAACAAGCAAGCATTTTTTCTTTGATCTGGATGAATTCACGTTTTTAATCATTTAAAGTTTTCAAGCTGACTCGAGGATGACAAAAAAGAGAGGTTGACTTCAGAGTTGTTCTGTAGCTTTTAACCACATTGCATCAGATTATTGACACAGAAATGATCACAT